GATTTGTGCGATCTTGGTGTCTATGCGTAGATATTGAAGAGAGCTTTCCAATGAGGTAGAGAACACGCAATTTGGACTTATAGAGTGGAAGTTATTGGACTTGCAAGATCTGACTTTTTAGGCTTCATGTTTTTCTCCGGAACAACTCCAAATGTTCCCGTTTCGTCTGTGATGTTCCGTAGTCCATGTTTTCCACTCCTTTTGCTCTCTTTTATGCATGAATACCTGTTTTGACACCAAAGAAAGCAACCAAGCAATATCGAGACCAATTGTGCTCTAGAATGCCTATAAATATGCAAAACCGAGTAAAATGCACTAGACATCCTATACCAAAATGTCACCAAAATACATGTCATCACTTGCTCGGGGAGCCTTCGTGTTGTGCACGTCACATCCTGTTCCTGCGGCTTCGAATGATCGTGTAACGTCGTGATCACTCGGCATGTCTCTTGGCACCTGAGAGGCCAAGCCTTCAACGTCCTCAAGAGCTCCTTCCGTTAAGCTCCCGTCTTCAAGAGCTCCTTCCGTTATGCTCCCGTCCTCCTCCAAGCTGCTAGGTCCGATGTCCTCATCAACACGTATCCAGACCGACGGGAAGGATTCCAAATGATTTGGAACGAATCTGCTAGGATTAGTGAAGAAAAGGGCAATTCAAGAGACGAGATCCAATCCCGGGGCAATAGAAATCGAAGAGAACAGGTTCTCTAGGGTTCTAGGATGTTTCTCTGAGTTTAAGGGCGACCTTTTTTAAGTTTGGACGAAATCCCAAACTTAAATAAGCTTAGAAAACCCTAAAATCGAATTTTGGAAAGTTTCCCAGATCCTGGTCCGCCGGACCAGGAGCTTGGTCCGGCGGACCAAGCTTAGTCCGAGCCTTCGGACCGACTGACTTGAAGGCTTGGTCCGGCTGACCAAGTTTTGGTTAGCTCCGGACCAAGTTCCTTCTTCGTCTTTCCCGTCCGCATGGCTTCAGTCTCGGCCCGTCTGATCCAGTGTCTGGTCCGGGGTTGACCAAATTTTGGTCAGCTGGACCATACCTGGACAGATGAACTCGGACCGAACTTTCGGACCTCCTGGGCTGACCGACTTGGTCCGGGGCTGACCAAACTTGTGTTGGTTTAGTGCTCTATGATGTACTGATTATGAGCTTTGTTCAGATACATTCGATGTATTGATACTTTCTATGTGGTTTTATGAGAGTATTTTATTCATTACATGTTCTTGCATGCTAGATCTGTTATGAAATCCATGTATCATTAGGAATGATACTAAACTCCCTAGTCTTGTGTCGTTATGGGAATAACGACATAATAAGACTAGTATGATGTGTGATTGATGATCACATAGATGATCATAAGTATTGGATACGATCACAATCATAGGTATTCGTTGGAGAACGGAATACTGGATTGACCCACATGAGATTGTCACATGGACTAGCGTCATGACTTGAATCTCATATGACGGTTCCATGATTGGATCCTAAGACCTGAGATATCTACGGAATCCAACATGAGGAGTTGCGTGCTTTGATTACGTCAAACGTCCTGCGTAACAGGAGGACTATAAAGGCGTGTATCAGGTA